ACAACATTTAACAAACGGTGCAAGGAATAATAGTGCTAAGGTAACGATTTTGATAGTATGAATCAGATTTATCAAATGCAAACAAAGAAGTGAATCTTATTTTACTCAGAACATATCACAGAGTAAAAAGAAACAAAAGGAATAAACCGTGAGGCATTAAAAAGGATGAATAAATCAGACAGAAGACTCGTAACAACGATGGTCTATATGCTGATAACAATTTCAGTTTCGTATTGTTCTAGCACTGCGATCATTTTCAGCGGATGATTGAAGACCTGAGCTATGGAGAAATCTTAAAATATCATTGAAACCCTAATTGTTTTTGTCTTTTGATTCCGACATAGTTGTCACATGAGGAATAAATAGTCTTTGAATAGTTAACGCAATTTCTCAAGCCTGATCTTCTTCAGTACATGAAAAGTAAGTTTCATCAACAACATTATTCTTAACATTTATGAATCGTAGTTGGAATGATAGAGTTCTGTTGTTGACCCATGAAACGATGTTATTTACCCCCGCTAATAATACTACTGGTCAGAAATTATTCATTCAGACCGATTGTTGTCTTTCACGAAGTGGATAGTTAGCTATCAGCTGAAGCGCTTACCGTAATGAAAAACCTTGATTAAGTCATTGGATCCCGATACAGCTGGCTATTCACCTTGTTCAGATTTATTCCATTAAAATTCAGTGAAGAATCACTTCATATCCATGAATCATTTTCAATAGCTACGCAAGTGTATATATTACATTCCCAAACAAACCAGTCCCTTACTGGTTAAACGTCAACCTTACTAGTCAAACATGAATATTCTAAGAGGAAAGCGTAATTTGCTCGCAGAGTTTGAATGAGATTGCATATTCGTAGAAAACAGAGAATAGCATATGAAGTCGACTGTGATGAATGTTGAGTTAGGTATGAAAAATAACTAATAGTAGTAATAGCTTTATTTGAATTAATATGTTTGATATAGTATGGAATTCTCAGTACGTAATATATTCACAAACTCACTCGTAAAACAATATTTTCAAACAAAATAATAACCACCTTTGACTGATGTTTATGATAACAGCATAACATCAAAGGAAATAATGTAAACCAGCCCGTTGGTAAGGGATTGGTGTCCGGTGTTTATTGTTGGTGGTTCATTCAGTCAGCAGAAGGATTTTCTATTCGACATAGGTATCTGACGAATAGAAATATGATGTATTTCTTACGCATTCAAAAATCCATTTCCGTTTCACATAACATTTTTAATTCGTTTCGTGAATGATTCGAAAAACAGTTTAGAACATTTAAAAAAAGAATACGTGATACGTTTTTGAGGACATATAAGAGGAATTAAAACAGACTGAAGGATTATAACTTCGGTGAAACAACAGGCTGAACGCACCTCTTCTGCATACAGAGCTTGCGTTTTTGACTGTTGGATCGCAAACATCTCCGCTATGCACGGATGACGAATGGACTCTTGTTTCATCTCTTTGAGTTATGTGTTTGAACACTTGAAAAAATCTGACTTCGTGATCTCATAACTTTCTAACATACAGGAGGTATGTATGTAATAAAGATATTCCTATCCATCCAATATTGGATTTGAAAATACCTATTACTTTGAAATTGCTACAGGGCTGACTGAAGTTTTTTAACCAGTGAGAAATCTAATTCAGATACATACTTCACTTCATTCATTTTATTTTGATCGACTTATTAACTAACTTCAATGTATTGGACAGATGAGCACGCTTTTTGAACATCACCTCATCCTTCACAAATGTTCCACTAATAAAGACCATTTATTTATTGTGTGGCCAAGTCGGAAGTAATAATCTAGCAGTACGTGTTCAAAACTATTATATCTGGGAGTTACTTGAATGATGTATTCTAAGTGCATAATTCAAGCTCAGTGATGAATTTTATCAAAAAACTGACAGGATAGCGATGGAGTCATCATTAGGCCCACTACTAGCAAACTGCTTCACTGCTCATTTGTAAAAAAACACCATGCTACATTCAGTTGTGAACTGGTTCCTTCTACATGGAAGATACAAAGAGGATACTTTGATCGTCCGCGATGAGACAACTGATCTTGATGCCACTCTTATATCATAAAATGATTATCGTCCCTCAATCAATTTCATGATGAAGACCCACAACAACTTGAACCTTCATTTTCCTGATATTCCTTTGAAGAGGAGACATAATAGCTCATTTAAAAGGTCAATCTATATGAAACCAACTTGGGATGTACGGCAAACTCATTCGCAAATCCACGTACCACTGAGCAAGAATGAGAAAACTTTTCAAAGTTGATGCAACTGATGAAAAGATAGGATACTGTTGAAAAGTATTTCTTTAGAACGTCTGCACCCACTATTCATTTCGAAAATTCATGAAGGTTAAACAGCAACACGAATGACTTCTTATTGTTCCTAAGAAGATCTAATTTAAGAATGGCAAGCTCAGAAGAGACAGCTCTGTAGAAATCTTAAAGAATCTCTTTCCTAAAGTAATCATAAAACGATCCTATGTGGTGGAACTGCTAATGGCTTTCTTCAGCAGACATTTGATTCAAGGAGGTATGTAGGAAAAACTGCTGCTATGGACCATATTCATCATTTGTGCATCAGCCTTTTTGCTCTTGTGTAGCTGAATATGTAGTCTTCATGATACGCAGTATTTCTAAACGTATCTCTTAGCACTATCCTACTTGGTTATTTAGAAGAGATTGAGGGTCAAGAAACTACTCTGTCCTTGATAACTTGATCAATTTTGGTCATATCAATTCTACGCTTTCTTCTTTCAAAATCCTACAAATGGTCAAACTGAGAGGTTCAAAAAGAAAGCGGATTCGTCACCTAAGTTTAATAGAGGTGTTGGTAATCCAATAATAAAGCCAGACCTCTGTGTATAGAAGAGGTGCATTCAGTCTGTTATCTTACTGAGGTTTTAATCTGTATTACTCTTGTTGGTCGACTGTTGTTAGTGTTCTTACTAAACGGTATACTTTCTTACATTTTTACCTGTTAGTTCTAGCTGTCTATTAAAATCTCATGATATTTAATTCCCATTACTAGTTATTTTTCCTAATCTCACAGTCATCATCGTAATTGACTTTATATTTTGTACTACACACCCTATGATAAAGTAATCACATTCTAATTCTCGAAGCGGATTACGTTTTCCTCTTAGAATATACTTTTTTGATATGTTTGTTTGTAAACGTGATAAATACACCTGGGTAGCTATTGAAAATGTTTCGACAATATAAACATTTTGTGATCCCTTTATAATTTATGTTTGATAATGTATAACAAGAAGGTGAAATAAATGAAATACACAACTACTCTATGTAAATTGGGCTAATTGGATTCAATCAAAAGATGAAGACTAATTTTATGAATTAACAAACAAATAGTCCACTTGGGGGTTAATTGGGATTTTAATTTTGAGTTAGCATTCATTACAGAATGACATCAGTTGGAAGACCGTTGAAAACCTAGGGATAGAACTCAGGACCTTCAGGTTTCACGGCGAAAGAGGAAAATAATATGCTGAACTTAATGATGTCGTTTATGAATTTTGGTATTCCTTTTACTCCAGAATAAGACATAAACATATTGTCTGGATGTATACTAGAAGATTGTCTCCATTGTTAGAAATATTTAGTTGTTTCTAAAACTCATAAGAATTTGATCACATCGTGATGAAGATAGGATCATTTACAAATATTTCTACTGTATGCAGGTGTATTTCGTGATATTTGAGTCACCTTCACGACATGATAATAAAATTAGCTCTTAAATACCCCAGTTACCACAACAGTCAAGCTTCTCCAAGGTTTCAAATATTTTTTTTGCTTTATTAGTTGATGCGAATACAATGTATATATTACTCCCCCAATACCGGTGGCGTTTAACTTGAATAGTATTGTATAAAAGCTACTCGATAGCGAATTAAGACATGCCGAATTAGCTTCTCATAGGGAAGGATGTTTATATAATCAGAACACTTGGATAATTTCTTTCCCAGATGAGAATGTGACAGAAACTAACGAATTGTTGCTTGCCTAACTCAAATACCGTATTTCATTCTGATCTTTATCGTTCTTCATTGCTGTTAACCAATAGTGCAGGCGTCATTTTCTAGGATTACATAGCGATGTTATGCATGTTATTTTCAATGCTGGTTATCGTACTTTCTTTGGTAACGGTAACAAACGTCGTACTTTATCAGTAGCAAGTTTTTGAAACTAATTGTGAGCTCTGCCCTTGTGATGAAGCATATAAATTTCATTATATTCTGATGTTTTCCGTTATATTTTTCTAGACTTGGTTCCGCTTGGCTTAATTTATATGATAGTATTACGAAGGATGGCTATAGGATTCGAACAATCATTTTTAAAACAACTAATGAATAAGCTGAATGATGCGTGATGATACATAGCAATTCAGGTGAAAATATTTTGATTATACTTCTCATTTAAATTAGTTCTGTGCATAGTGTATAGAGTATATGTACTTCAAAGCCTAATAAGTAAGTCCATATTGTTGCAACAAAGCAGAGGCTTAGGTAGAGACTAGTTTAGGCTGTATCAAATCTAAACAGAGATCCAATATCAGTTCATTTCTCCATGACTTCTTGGTTGCTTATATCCTCCATGATATATGAAAGTTTGCAGTAGTCTTGAAGATATCAAATCTTGAAAGTAGAACTTATCTGCTCTTTATATTACATGAGTAAACAAACATTGAGAAACATTACTCAGCATTGAAAAATAACTGCAACTGGATTACTACAAAAATTAGTTGTGAGCTACCAGTAGTTTGAGTCATTGACCTCGTATGTTTGTATTGAAAATCATTACTTTTTGATAGAAAAGTAATATAATGCCACCTTATTGGTTATTTTTAAAAGTCTGTATTTCACTCATTACAGGTCACTACTAGTAAAGTGGTGTATGCAGAAGACAGCCTTTGCCAATAGCGCATCAATTAAAATTTGTTGAAGGCATTTATTAGCTTTCAGTCCTATTTTTATAATGTCTCATTGTATGTAGTCAAAATGTCAAATAACTCAGTGCCAGATTGTCAAACCACTAGTTATTCATACACTAAGAAAGAGATTAGAGTTATATGTGTGTTAATTGCAATACTGATACCCTTTTACATATCTGTTGAAATATCCTCTTTTATATGTGATCAGTATACTTTTTATAGGTAAGTCATTCCAAATCATGATGTTTTAAAATCACACAATAGTAGTGTGTACACTTGTTAAAAATAGAGGTTACATCCAGATCATTATTTGGTTCATCATTTTGTTAGTTGTCTTAATCGTTAATTTGTCTACTCTTCTGGTTCATGCTATATTATAATAGTTACCAAGTTTGGGATTACTGTCTTTATAATTCCGGTTAATTCCCAAATCAAGGCAGTGTAAAATTCTCCTATAGTGTAAAGCAATCCCACACTTCAATGCGTTACGATTTATGAAACTATTTCTGAGGTATGACAAGGCTTATTATTTTCAAATAATCACCAATACTTAACCAATTCCTTCAATGGGTGTTTTAAAAGGCAATAAGTGAAACACAAGAACTACCTAGACACCCTCATAGCTAACATACAGTTACTTTACATGTCAATCTCTTGGATTATGCACTTCGTAATCCAGTGGTTGGTTCCCCTGGAAAAAAAATGAAGAACTACATACTTTGAACCTTGGAACAGTAGGTAACTAAAAGCAGAATCTTTGACTGTTGGTTTCAGTCCTATGGGAGGATATGGACAGATCTGAATTACTATTCTGTATAACATGATTCATTAGCGGCTGAAACCTGAACATACTGGCGACAGTAACTTGTGAATTTTAAGATACGTCTTAATTTAGCTCTGCTTTCTATTGATTCAGATCCTAAGTCTGCGCTTATGATTTATACTTTCGTAAAAGGTTGGTAACTCGTGGATTGTTAAATCTTCAAACCCAGTATACGATACTAGCGAATGTATTGATCGCAGTTCTAGCCAAAAGTTGGAACCAGTTATCAGCAATACTACACTATTAGTAAACTTATTTAGCAGTCTGTATGCTTCTCTACAAGATACGGGTACATGTAATTTGAAAAACAGTTTTATTTTCCATTCAATGAATCATTTTCAAACCAGATGAATATTATCATACATCACTGCAGTACCGTCGGTTATGTCCCATCTAGTGACATTTAGCACCATGATAAAACTGTTAATTAACACGAAACCCTTAGACGTAGTTAAGTAATGCACATACTGAGATGGATGCAAAAACCGCAGTCCTTAGGTTAAACATATGTGTTCTTGTTTCTAGTTTCTTAACTGAGCGGGGGCTGCCCTATGGATATGATCTAACGATTAATACAAATAAGTAAGTCTTACATTGTGTAGCATTTCATATCTATAATGTGAAAGAAAATTTTCACACAGGCGAATATAAGCTTTTCATGAATCTAACTTTTTCACTGTAAATGAGTAACATCATATTATCAATTGTTTTCCTGTAATTTCTGTTTCTTAGTTTAATCACAATAAACGGCTAGAGATGATCTTACAGTCATATGAATAATAAATTAAAGTCTACTATATCTCTAATTCATTGCTTATTTGTACATCCAGAGCAAATCCATTAGTGTTTTCTTCTATGGAAAGCCCTAGAACAAGAGTCAGTGAATAGACTCAGATAAAGTTTAAAAGAACTACATGCTTCAAACCAACAGCTACTACCTTTACACGGTGGAAAGGACTACTTTTCACGATATTCCTTCAAGCGGACACCACCTGACAGTCGTTGTGTAGTCTCTGACTTCATGAATCAGTAAGAACTGAGAAGTAAAGCCTATTTGTAGTAGCCGTCTAAACACACTCTGCATGCAGTCTGAAAACCATGAGTGGGATAGGGGTAATTGGCAGGAAGTTGTAGACCTAGGTTTCATGATTGTTGGCACTAGTCAGCAACGTTTATCTACAAACTCGACGGAACTGATGTCCTGTCTGGGAATCGAAACCATATCACCCGGTGGTGGAGTCACGGGCGTTACCATTGAGCTATTTGGGTCGCGAGTGGTGAGCATGTTCCAAGTATAATGGACAAAGTTCTATCACTTTTCTCGACAACAGAACATGAAGTCAGTTCCTCTCAGTGATCAATTAATATAACTAATCGTATCCAACAGGAGATGAATGGTAGCGTCAAGCAGTTTCAAGTCTCAAACAGGACTCTAGTCCTGAGGAAGTTGCATATATTCCTTGCTGACCCGTACCAACATGCAAAAGACCTAAGTTGAAAACTTGTCACTTTTAGCCTTCATCTAACTAACATCCATCACAAGGCAATGTGATATGGTTTGGCTGCGAAACTGCAAAGTAATCCGTAGAATTAGATCAACACCTAAGACTGGACAACATGAAGTGGTTGTCCTCTCGTGACCAATCTTTGCTGTTTGGAAACTACAGTGAAAACGTTCTGCCAAAAGTTATCAACTTCATTGGGTAAATCGGAAAATCCAGATAAAGTCAAAACTGAAGTTGATTTCAACGATAAAATCGAAAATTCGAGCCAATTGAAAAGCATCTGGCATATATCTATCTTATCACATACAAAAGAACAGATATCGATGATCATATTCATTCTGAAAGACACCGGTTCCTGGTAAACATTATCTTCAAGCATTATGAGAGATAGTGTCCCATTTGGCATCTGTTAACATCAAACCAACAGTCAACAGAATAAATAATATTGTTATAAGCCATCGTTAGAGGGCTTCGGTGGCAGATTCCCGCTTTTTCTGAGTTACCTGTTTGGATTCTGACCAAACACTAGTACGAATAAGTGTATGCTTGCGCCTTACTAGCAGCAGGTAACAGACGGCGATGAATCTTTTGTGTATTCAAATTAAGATGAGGACGTCAAATGTTTATTTATGCAGGAGATAGCTAAGAATTTACCTGAGCGTAACAGCAATTATCTTCTTGACGGAGCTTGGAGAAATGTTCAGTCTACTCTAGATACAGCGGCAAAGGCGCCCAATGGACAAAACCAAAGGTTATTAGGAATCAATCTACGTTTATGCGAGAATATTCATTCTTGCTGTCTTTGATTATAACGATGAGCCAAAGGAGCTTAAACTTAAATCAAATAAGTGTTTTCTGGTTGACCGGGAGTAGTGGTGAGCAGTGGAAGATAATAGTTCGAAGAAGGTATCATACCATAGAGGACATAGTTATCCAACGCCTAACTAAAGCTTTAGAACAGTAAATGTGGTAAAAACAGACAAGTTTCAAACCTCCACTAAGTTGTACCAATCATATCTTCACCCCACAACCGGCCCTAGTAAAGAGTCATAATTTTCTATAGTCGACACCTGCCATATGTTTTGACATGAAGATGGGGTTTGAGTCTGTCGAACGTGTAGCGTAGCAGCAGTGTCTGACCCAAGAAGTGAGTAGCAAGCAGTTATTTGATGCAACACGACCCCATGTAGCCACGTAACGGCTTATAAAGGGTTATCATCTGAGTTGACGACAACCAGTGGGGTCTGCCAACGATGATTGTTGTCACCTTTCTCAATCGACTTCGCTACATCATAAGTAATAATGTACATAGCGTAAGGTTCCTATGACTTCACAGGGATTGACTCAGAACCTGAATAGCACCTAGTTGACTTGCGGTACGCAGGTGATTTTGTCCTGTTAGGTGAACATTCTGACAAAATGTGTAGTCTTCTGGTATCTACTTTTTATCCAGCAGTAAAACAATCAGCTCTTAATTTCAAACTTCAGGAAAGGATATATGCGACTCATGTTTAAAGTCTCCCTTGGCCTGTTTGGTGACTCAGAATTAATCCAGTTTCTCCTTCAGATACCCTGCAGAAAAGGCTACCACCATGCAGACAATTCTGGTAGCACAAAAACATAATAACCATGAGCTACCTTTCTTACCTTTGTCTCCGTTACCTTCACCTTCTGATACCAACATTAAAGCCCTCTCTTAAGGGCATATGCATTAGGCAAGTGAAATTATCCTGTTAAACTTAGATACTCACGAAATACGTAATTATCTAAATACTTTGAGCAGAACTCTCACTGTGTTTGACTTGCGTTCCTCATCTGTCAAATTTAAGATGATTCTTCTATCTGGTCTTCAACTACTCCTAGTTTAAGGATAAGCAGTGAAGTGATGAAATCACAGACCACTTTACTTACTTAAGGGGTTGCGTCATTCCCAACTGATTGGCTACTGACGAAATCTTTTCTCAGATGCAGAAGGCCCGTCTGGCACTCGCCAACCTGCATCACCTTTGGCGCTAGCGAAATTACCTATTACCATCAAAGGACAAGTATACTGCACTTCAGTTCACTCTATACCAATGTACGGCTGAGACAAGACCGTTTAAATTAGATGTGAAGAGATTACTGGTTTGTGATTACAGGTATCCAGCTACATAGCATTGTTTACTTATGGTGTAATTGCTATACAAGCAATCCCAAGGCTCTGCACCAGGTACTAGGCAGGACAGGCAAGTCAGTCTGATAAAGTTTTGAGCCTTCGCCCACTGAGTTGGTCCAGGGAACGGCGAGCTGGCAGTTATCTTGAAATTGGCTAAATTAAGATTGGATAGGAAGAATGCTCACGTTGGTCAGATTGAAGCATACGATTAGTCCATGAAGTCTCTTGCTGTTGGTCTGAGGTCCATAGGGAGGTATTGACTCCTTGGTTAGGGGTGATCGACACGACAGGAATCAATGGTTGGAAACCTTTGGTAATATGGCACATAATAGTTAACAGTGGTTAAGGTGTACCCACTCTTGAAAGCCTTTTGAATTTCGAACATTTTTACTAACTATAATATTTGAAATTCTTTCTTCTGCAACATACTTTTATCTACAATAATGTCTATCGTTTCTTTTCCCTGCTTTGACTATTGTTATGAAGTGTAACAACTTCGACTGATGAACTTCTGATCGAGGTCTGCATCGATCCGGTTTATCTTTATTTGATTATATATATATATATATATATATATATATATATATATATATATATATATATATATAAAATCAGGTATTTAAACACTCACTCATTCGATTATTTGGAAACCGCTAATCAAATGTTAGTGGCTGTAAATGTACTTGACAGTTTCCTAATTCTCGGACAATCGAGAAAGAAGATGCTACCGTAGAACTAAACTTTAGTATTGAGAAACCTTAAGGAGGACCTGTCAAATAGCAGATGCTGTATTCAAAGTCATTTGTTTTCGTTGCTTTATCTGGTTAGTGACACTTAATTAGCTGTTAATGAATTATGAAGAAGATAATGTTCCGATGGGGTAGAAATAGAGGAATGCCTTGTTCATAGACGTAAGTATAACCGAGGAAAAAGAACTAATGGGACTGGGTAAGTTATATAGATATGTCTTGACAAACCACAGACGCTTGGAATATGCAGTCAGAACACAAAGAAAAAGCATTTTCAAGAGATAAAGGATAGGTCAGAGGAATCTATGGTGCCAGTTATAGGAAAATGGGTAGAATCGGATGCACAATATACACAGGTGATTGGAAGCCGCACATACTGTTATTGTAAATCAGCTACCCCACCAAGTTACTGTTAATAAAGGGCACTTTGTTGATCTGACAACTGAAGAGCATATTAGCAACGCTGAGAATATGTGGAGCCAACTTTGTAAGTACTTAATACTTTTAGTAGGAGATATGATATCCTCTCATGTGAGTGAGTGGTAATAAAGGCAGTGATATGGTTTTAAAGACGAAAAACCCATTGAAAATTTAGATATGTTTGTTTCTCATATGAAACAGATCGATAAACTAAATAGTATACAGTTTTTTCAATAATTACATTCTCTTCCATGTGCTATTTTCCGATCGGTCAGTGCATACTTGAACGTGACTGGTCATCACCATAGTTTTTTCTGTCTAATCTGCGTGTTCCAGCACCCACAATGCCGAAAAATCACGTTCGATAGTGATAAGACTAAAAGCAATAATTGTACAAGTTATTAGAACTACGATAGAGGTTGGAAGCTGAAGTCATACTGCTAGTTGTATGGTGTATGATAGCAGTTAGATGTTTCTCTTGGATAGTCTACATCCCACTTTAACACTTCCTCCCTTTGTCGAAAACATAGGTCAGGGCTATTCGGCCTAGGAAGTCGCACTATTATCTCACTTCCGCAGCATTTTATTACTGACTGTATTGGCATATTGGTAAGGATGTGGCATAATAAGATGCAGATGCAAAAGTCGTAAAAATGTATCATGTAACCAATATAAAAGCGGATATTCTTTTTGCTATGGCTTCATACATAAGTAATCAACTTTCCGTTTACATCGCTTTCATGTTGGGAACCTAGAGCCTACCTTCATTGGGACATAAACCAATCTTTGCATCCCCTATCCTTATTTAGATTTTCTTTCTCTTTGAAGTTGTTACACAGTCACGCTGCTGAAACGTCGGTTATGTTTTGAAGCTAACTGTATATTAGTTTCTTATGACTCAATTCATTGAAGCACTGTTTTAGGTTTCTTGGAAACCCGGTGTACATTTTGCGTTAGAGCTCTGAATGTCTGACTGGCGTGTCAGTTTTAGAAAAGCATTTACCTGGCTAACCTTTAAAACCTCGATCCATAAATGCACGTTGTTGCTAAGACACTTATCTAGATCTGAAGTGCTGTTATGTATTTATCCTATTTAGAACACCTTGGTAAATCTTCCCCATTCACCTTCCAAGTGTCCTTATTTTGATGAATAATTACGGCAAACTCATAAGTGCCAATATAGCACTAGACTGTAAAGCAGAAAATGACTTTGTTGACTAGAGATAAGATGACAGTTAACTGTGAGCTACTCTATTGAATGGATATGTAGGAAATAAAATGAATGGAAACACTCGTTGATATGTGTCTATAGTGCCCACCCATATGACCCAAAATTGCATTTTGGACAATAGGTACCTTGAATCTTTCTAAAGCAATTAACGTTGCTACATCAATCCAAACGTCCAAATCTAATCACATTAGCTAGTGATATCACCATACAGCTAGAACAGCTCATCCAGTGGGAGATAAATCTTTGGTGTATGTACGGAATTTCATGCCGAATAACCAATAGTAGTGATTTCCTCCTACAGTTTTGTTCTGACAATCAATTGCTCATCTACAGCTTCATCACTGAACCTAGGAATCAAAACTTTAGTCTGGCTTTCGACATCATTTTGTCAGGGGTAGATACATTTATCACATCAGTACAAGGCATCATTGAAGAGAATCATCGGATGAATGCAACCAGTTTCAACTTATTAGTCTTGACTCCAAATATATGTCGGTCAAAACACTTACTTGGCTGTACCTCAGAGGTCCACCTACATAGAGATTTCTGGAAAATTTCTGTACCCTTCTGTAACATAAGAATATGAAGCCGATTCAAAATGAGTCTATGTCTAAGTATTTATCTAAACATGGTTTTTGTGAATACTTATTGCTGATAGCTAAAATTTACAATTGACTTCAAAAAACTACAAAATTAATTATTAATGATACGTTGGTTCGACCAAGATTAATTTGCATACCATTGAAAGAAATGATTTCATTAAAGTGAAAAATGATCATAAAATAATTTTTCATATCACAAGTACAAATACTCTGAATCGTTTACTTTATTCTAGTCTCATGCTTTAGTCGACGACATTCGTATAAAGATTATCAACCTAGTTACCATTCATCTTTAAAAATTTGAGCAAGTGAATCCCTTTCATTCTGATTACTTTGAAACTTACCTTATAAATTGAAAATACAGATAAGTCAGTTATTAGTCCAGTGTTGTGTGCAAAATTTACTTATGTTTTAGAATGTTATGACACAATATTCTGTGGCGTTTTTCTCAAGCTTGAAAGAAAAATCAAAGCTTAGGGAAACCTAAGCAATCGGTTGAGAATTTTATTCATTTTATAATTATAGTTTAATTTGTAGACCGTTTTCTCGACTTTGTTAGGTAATTCTATGTAAATACTGTTGCATTTCCTTTTAATGTTATGCTAAGCATTTATTTATTCTACTTTAAATCCAGTAGCGATGAAGTGAAATTAAGAAGGCAGGATGCTCAAAGGCAAACGTCTCTGGTTCAGTCCTCTAACAACTTGCTGCAGTCGCTCCCGGTCTAATATCCACCTTAGTAGTCGGTTATTTGTCAGATCATTTTGGACGTAAATTTGCCCTAGGTATTCTTATAGCCGGGGAAGCAATACAAATTTTAGCTGTTGGTATGTTCTCAGCAGTACAGTGATTATTAAAAAAAATTAAATTCCAAAGTAAAAGTATAAGTGTAAGTACTGTGAATGTTTAGCATAGAAAATATCCAACAAAATTTGTGTCTTCTAACAAGACAACTGGCATTTTTTCGACAGCGTTAACCATGTCTCCGATCAGCATACTGAAATTTCAATTACTCCCCATTCCTAAATATTCAAATAATCACATGAATATCTGAAATGCGCAATTGTGTCAACTTATTATTCTATTAACAACCCGACCAGTAAAATGTCAATTCGCTACTTGTGTTTATTGCATCAAAGTAAATGAAAAGCATTCCAAGCTGTATAATTGTGTATATATGATATTTGAAAAATCATATCCCGTAAAGAAAACTAAACACCATATGATGATGATGACTATAATAATCGATCGGATGATGACATAGACGTTTGTGATTATGATAACAGTTGCTGTGTGAATGATAACAAAGTATATAACTCAGAAGGGAAAGAAAAAATTAATGAAAGTGGTAAGCCAATTAAGTATTATGCAATAAGATAGGACATGTTGGTCAAGGTGAAAAGATTAAGATTAAGACAATCAAGTGAAATAACACCGGAAACTAATCAAAGTGAAATCTCAAAGTAAGTCAACGGTTTAGCCCGGATTCACCTACAAAGACAGATTATCTTTCCGATAAATGTAATCACACAATCTCTTTTGAATTTGGAGAAAGTATCAAAATGTAACTGTTTACGTTGTCACACATTTTAACAACACACTAAAGAAAGTAACAGAAATCAAGTGGTCGAAAAATATCCAAACATGCTTATAGAAGTAAGCAAGGATTGCTAAACGATCATAAATTTTGGTGATGAAGAGTAAATATATCTGTGCTATAAGAATCAGTTTCAAAGAATTTCAGAACTAGTCGCCAAACTTAATAACCTAATACTCGGAAGACTTCAGTTAGGGAATTCAAATAGTTAGGATAGACGGTCAGGAGCTTTACAGAAGAATCTTATCATGAAAACTAGGTTTATTTCTTTGGCACGTTAAATATTCATTCTGGCTAACATATTCAATCCAGGTTCAAAAACTCTTTCGCTGACATGGCTCCACTACTTATTTTTCAGTTTTTTGCAAGAATGACTCACACTTCGAGATCCAACAATATACAAGCAGTCCGTATTTCGGATCCATATTAAAATGAATGGGTTTGAATTTTGTTTTTAATGGAAGTCAAAGTAAACTCAACACCTAAACCTAGTTTCATAATACCTTTTTTTAAAATAAATGTATCATCAATCCAATTGTATGTGAATAACATAAAGGGCATCTTTTTTTCCAGCTATCGTGGTTTTCTATCGCCTAACACCATGGGGTCTAGTTGTATCGAATGTACTCGAAGGTTTCATTGGTGGTGGTCTACTTTCAGCGATTGCCCAGTTTTCTGTTTGTATTGCAGATTTGACAAATTATGATCAAAGACAAGGTTGTGATTTAGCCAGAAAAGCTGTATATGATCGTCGAAGATGGTTGCTACTCACACTAATCGACGGTTTAGCCTGTCTTAGCTTGGCAACTGCTAACATGATTGCAGGTGAGTAAAACATGGGTAAATAATTTACCCTGATTCATTGGCATAGTTAGAAATTATGTTGAGGTATAGGTTACAAGAATTGTACGTTCAATCTACCTAACAAGGTTATGAAATTTTAAATCTTGTGATAAGTGATATTAGAAGCATGAAGGTGCTGACCAAATATCCCTACTTCTAGAACTTTTTAATATATATTTACGAAATAATTTATGCTGAAAATTAATGATTGGCAAGGTAATCTGCTGAGGAGAAAGTTAATTAATTTAATTTATCCTGGAAAAATAAATGTAACACGTTTTATCTTCATTTTCCAATCAAAGCATATATGACCGTTTGAAAATAGCAGAACCCTTCAACTTTGTAAAGTTGAATTGTTCAGGAAGAAGAATAAACACTTCTGTTATTGGCAGTATAACTCAAGAATGAGTAATAAAAATTTCATTTTACTATAGGCATGAATATTTTTTCATTTAGTGCTTTAAACTGAAAAAAACCTGGTGACACGATACAGCAGAAAGATGCTCATCTACTTAGAAAAATTAGCATGTCGAAAAACACCTATTGAATCCCTTTTGTTATAGACAAAACTATTCTTCACCAAAGAAAATGGTAGAGATATCGGTTACAACTTTCTTCAGTAAAATCATCTCATTATCATCTTTGCGGGATGTCAAAAGGTCACTACATTATCTGATTAATATCAAATTCTTCCACAAACCAAGAATTTAAAGGCTCACTCAGTAATAATAGAGATAAAAGCACCAAATATGGAATCAACGTAGAACAACGAATTCTTAGGTTTCTGTCATCTTTATTTGGTGTACAGCAATACTATTTATGTAGAAGGCAAATGTTTGTCTTTCAATACCTTCCGAAAAAAAGGGATGATATTCCTGAATAAGAACAAAATCTTGGTCAAAAATTCCTGAGTATACATGAGAGGAAACATTTTAAAACCTTTCTTAAGATTTCGGACAATTATTCTCTGTTCTTACCTCATGTAGACGGATAACTTATCAACATGTGTTCTTACTGTAAATTTATAAGCAAAAGCCACTCTGGAATGCGTTTAGATATGGTAAAGACACTTCCAAAATTCACTTGCTTCCTTTAGTATAGATCTCATAGAAAGTTATAGGTTTGCCTCAGAATGCTAATTCCATAGTCCTCTTTACGGCTCTCATTAGACCAAATACATATTTTTAGGCACAGTTATTAGTGAAAGATCATTAGGATACCCTACCTATAATACACA